TTAAATTCGGGACACTCTGTATATAAATATATAAAATCATATACAGGATATCCTATTTTAATTGACCACCTCAAATATTTCTTGCACAGTGCATTTTAGAGAAAAATGTTTCAGACAAAAGTTTTATGACTTCAATGGGAATATAAGGTCAAACCATTAATGGCTTGATCTTGGGTATCTTGGCTTCGTCAAAATCAGGACAAGGTTGCTTTAACTTTTTAAATGGAATTTCATTTTTCATTACATATTCTTGTAACTTACCTCGAGAGCTCTTTTCAAAATATTATAAAAAATTCTTTTTCATTTAGTACTTTTTGAGTTATAAGGCTTGAAAGTTATATATAATCTTTTATTTTAAAAATATCTCTTTTTCCCATTTCTGTTGCAAGTTGTAGCTTGTATGAAATAAATGCATATTCATCCTACAACCTTCTAATTTCTTTAAACTGTCAGAAATGCCTCAAAAATTGTGTGCATGCTGTTGTACATCTTGTATATGTATATACTTGCTTACTGTAAAAATATAATTTCACAATTACATATACATATGTCAAGCCGTTTAGTACATAGGCATGAAAAAAGGCATAAAAATGCGTTCAGTATTTATTTTCGACATTATACAGATGGCCGAAAGTATATAATTACTCTATTAAATAAAAGTTAATATTTACATTTTTTAATACGATGCAGAGTAATCCGAAGTTTGTGTTCAAACTATGAGCGAACTTTTTACCGTGCAGGGACGATTACATTATTAGTATAACGGCAACTGTCTCTCCTTACAATTATTTCCTTAATAGCTAATGTAGAAGATATATTGTCTTAGTATATTACATTTCGCACATAATATACACATCTGATGCGTTATGTACTAAACTGTACAACAATACAATTGTACCATAGAGATCTAAGAGTATGCCAACGTATAACTTCAATATTTCTCGTAAAATAATGTTGGGATTCCGAAAAACAAAGCAACATGATTACATTGACAAGTTAGAAATAAAAAATAGATATGTCTTTGTTCTACGTTAATCTCTAATGCCAAATTCGACTAAGATCTTTGTCACTCCAATTATGGTGGAAGAAATCATGACCCCAACATCCGAACGCTACTCGTTAAATTTCTATAGAACTGATGAACATTACGTCACAGAACGATTGGTCATTATTTTATTTTACATTAATATTTCGAAGACAGATTTACGATGAAGAGAGAGCGGCAACTCCAGGCAATACTTTACCCTCCAGAAGTTCCAAACTTGCACCACCACCGGTGCTCACGTGGCTCACTTTATCCTCCGTTTTCCACTTAGCTGCACACGTTGCCGTGTCACCTCCACCGATAATAGTAATTGTTCCCCGAGTTGTGGCTTCAACGACATTATCCATCAAACTTTTCGTACCCTTACTGAAGTTCTCGAACTCAAACACTCCCGCTGGACCATTCCATACTATAACTTTTGCTCTCTTAATTGGTTCTGTATCAAGATAACGTAATTAGTAATGCTTCTAATGTCAAACACTTAACGCATTATTACATATATGGTGGCCGCTAAAAGTTTCCGGCAAAAAAACATACTTTTAAGATAATTTTTGTGTTAATCTGTTTTTCAGTTTATAAATTAATAAAATTCTTGTTATAACTAACTTGAATATGTGTAACTAAGAACACGATATTTTAAATAGAATATATATTAAATCCTTTCATATTAGAGCTTTTATTTAATTAAGATAAAGATTATTTATCTGAGGAATATAATAAATTATTCATTAATTAAAATTTTTTGGCAGCTACTGTATATTTTTTGAAAAATTTATAATAATTTGCTACGAGTAATGAAGGAAATGTACTTACCTGCGAACAAATCTCTTGATTTTGGACCAACGTCAAGACCCAACCATCCATCGGGTATACCATTCTCAACATCCGCAGCTCCTATTGCTGCATTCTCTGCAAATTTATCGGCAGTCACAAAATCCACCGGCAAGTGAATTTGGACATTATTCTTTTTAGCTTTATCCAATAGATCGTTCACAATTTTTGCTCCTTCTTCGTCAAACAACGAGTTTCCAATCTAGAATCATGTAAATGTAAAAATTACAAATATTTAATTGCAGATATCAGTATCATTTGCAATTCTTACCAAATATTACATACCTTCATACCTTTGGACACTTTTAAGAACGTGTAGGCCATACCGCCTCCAATAATCATTTCGTTCACTTTATCCAGAAGATTATTAATTAATTGGATCTTGTCAGCAATCTTAGCCCCTCCAAGTATAGCTAAAAACGGTTTTTCTGGATTGTCCAGAGCTTTTGCGAAGTATGAGAGTTCCTTCTTCAACAGAAAACCGCTTGCTCTTATGTCAAATCCATCTCCCATCATAGAACTATGAGCACGATGGGCGGTTCCAAAGGCATCGTTTATATACACATCTCCTAGCTTTCTCAGAGATGCTCTAAACTCAGCAACTTTATCTTTGTCAGCTTTAATCTAAAATAAATTGATATATTAATCTTAAGTATTATAATTTTACATATTTTAAGATAGTTTACATTGAATTAATTCTTGATACGCATAATTTTTCGGTCCTTTACTACATACAATTCATCCTTCATGTTCAAAGTTAATTTTCACTTTTACAAGCATACAAAAATTATAAAGTGATTCTTACATGTACTTTAACATTTTTAGAAAGTATTTGTAAAGTTGTGTATTAAAAAAAAGAAAAAAAGAGACCTTTATTTAGCCAAACGCTCCTAGTACTTAAAAAAAATATATAGGATATGAATAACCCAATCCTGTATACTAAGGATTAAATTAATATCTGCAATCATATTTTTACTTCCTTCATCTATAGTCAAAGTTTTCTTTGTACGACCAGTTTTTTTTTGCTAGGATTTCAAAAAATGTAGAAAATTCAGGATTACTTTCTAACATCTCCATTATATTACCAAATAGTTTTTTAACTCAAATGTTAATTTGTTTAAAAATCTTTATTATAAGAAAAATTGAAATTTGAACAAAAAAATTTTGAGCATAAAATTTATTTTTGTTCAATTTCGCTTGTGTCAAAAAAGATCCAGATCGTACAGAATAAGTAATTAAAATACTTGAATAATGAAAATAATCTTTCATACCTTACTTCCATCAGGACCTACTCCTTTTCCCTCCTCCTCGACATGAAATCTCAGGTTTTCCAACAGAATAATAGTCCCGGGTGCTGGATTGGCGCAAGCAGTTTCTACTTCTGGTCCGACACAGTCATTCAAAAACAGAATCTCTCTTCCTAACAGAGTTTTCAGTTCCTCGGCCACAGGTTTCAATGTATACTTCTCGTCCCTCTTACCGTCTGGTCGGCCCAGATGAGACATTAGTACAATCGACTTGGCCTTCTTATCAATGGCATATTTCACTGTGTCCAGCGCAGCGACGATTCTCTGATTGTTTGTTATCTTACCCTCCTTCAGCGGTACGTTGAAGTCAACCCTGGAAAGTCATTTTGTTCTATTACATTTCTATTATATTTGTGTACCTTGCTGTCATCTCTTTTCTTAAAAAGATTTTAGATTTGTTTTTTCTGAACTATTGTACACCTTTTATATTCAAATAAAATATACAACACTAAACTTGCAGCAACATTGTTGCAACTTTAGCAATGACTGCATTCAACAGAGAACAGTTTTGCAACTGTTGTAAAATTCTTTAACACGATTTGTCTTGCCTTTAATTCACTGGCTCTAAAAATGTGTAAACTAATTATATTAAGAATAACAATTGCAAAGCTGCCTTATGTGCTGAACTGTCACTGTTGCTGTCATTGCAATATTGCTGGAACGTTGCAATGTTGCTGCAATATTGCTGAAACATTGTAATCATGCTGCAACATTGCTGGAATGGATTTGTACTGTATGGAATAAGTACAAATTTGAAATTAGCAAATAATTAGCGATATATTATTAAGGAAAGTGTAATTCAGTAAGCAGGAAAACAGCAGAAAAAAGACCTTTCAGAGAGAACCTACACGTACCGTATAAGCACCCTCTTGTCCGCCAACTCCACTTTATCGATGCTGAGCTTGTTGAGTGCCATTGCGACGGTGTTTTCTCTTGTTATTCCGTTTAACGCGATATCTCTGAAGAAAAGGCGTGTACCGTCAGATATGACAAGCCTTGCTAACCCTTTATCAACGAGACACGTAACGTCACGAATCCGACCACCGCTCGACGAGGCCAAGCCGCGATAAGTCGGTGTCTCAAAGTCAAAGAAAGGTCGTCGAGCGTGGCGACCTCCTGTAATTCTTTGCAACGCTCGTTGTGTTCGTCCCAATCGAATGGGAATCATTACCTTGATCATGTATTGAACCATATGATTATTATAACTCCTGATGAACCGATCTGTAGTTTCGTACGATTTTTATATATTAAATATGCTATACCTTCGTGGAGTTTCCCTCCCGGAGGAAACATATCCTTGCGACAAATCAATTACAGAAACAAATTCTTACAAGATATAAGTTTTGTAAATCATAAAACAGTTGGTTTTAGTTATTATCGCAAGTAATCCCTGGTGGAAAAATATTGGTGAAATTATTCCACATTTTGAAACACTTTTCAACAAAATTTCAACTTTTAAAAAAAAATTTCAATTTAATTTCAGCGATTTTTAGCTGAAAAATTCATTTTCGAAAAAATTTCAGAAAAATTTCAGCAAAATTTTCAGACAAATTTCAACAAGAATTTCAAAGAAATTTTAGAAAATTTCAGAGAAATTTCGATTGGATTTCAGTGATTTTTCAGTATGCTAGCTAAAAAATTCACTTTCAGTAAAGTTTCAGCAAATTTTCAGCAATTTCGTTGAAATGTTCCAAAAAACATTTGGAATAATTTCAGCGAAACTTTTTCACCAGGAATTTAATTAATTGTTTATCGTTCAAAATAAATGTTAACTCTAATCTCATGAAAATTGGCCTTTATCGCATCTGCCACGAATGGCGCGAAGATATGCGCAAATATGGCGCCAATTTCTAAGGTTATGTTCAAGTTACGCCAGCTGTATTACGCTAATAATTAAGTAGGAAGTAATCATTAACAGTGAATGATACAGACGTAGAAGAAAGTGAGATCGATGACATATTGACATGATTGATATCATGAACTAAAAATATTCCAGAAATAGGAGACAGGATGGAATCCAATGATACATATCAAGACGACAGTGATGACGGTATTATTCTTGCTCTTGAAAAAGATTGCTATTTTGTTTGTTATATATAGATATATTTACATTGTGCTATATAAATATATACGCAGTTTTATTATTACATCAGTTACTTTAAAATTAAACTATTGGGTTCTGTTATCTTTTTAAATAAATTCTCAAGTATTTTTTATCATTCATGAAGTAGCAATTTTGTGAAAAAGTATTTCAAATATTTTGTAAATGTTATTTTATTGTTAATTAATTTATAGATGATTTATGGATTGAACTAAAAGAACTAAAATTCATTTAATTATTATAATTCAAAAGTATTAATGGAATATCAATCTTCTATTCAATTTAGCTCTTCTATTCGATCAGAACTTTTCGGAGTTCACATGGGTCTATTAGATTCTTTATGCAGTGATTATTCGGATGAGAAATTAGGTGCTTTCCAATAAGAAGTTCAGCAACACAATGATCATTTCATCTTAGTTTAACATTAGCAGGGCTGGACATGTATTTGAAATATTTTTATTTGATAAACAATATTTGTAAGACAATTGTATTTTGTATTTCAGTGGAACACATGAAAATATTTTGTATTTCATTGGAGCATATAAAAATATTTTGTATTTTGTATTTCAAGTGCTAGGGGATTGATTCTTATCAATCTTATTATTTAAATTACAAAATACAAAAAACTTTCAATCTTTCGATTTTAAATACAAAATATGTAATACTGTCATGTGTTAGCTGAAATAGAAAATATACTTGTATTGCAAATACTATGTTTTAAATAAAATTATTTCAAATACATGTCCAGTCCTGAACATTAGTAAACAACAAAAATGGAATGATTCATTATGTCATCTGTATCTCTTACTGGAAAGCACTTAATGATTCTGATGAATAAAGATATTTCAATTTTCTCTGTAAATTAATGTTAAGTTAAAAAATAGGTGCATTATGTTTGAATTTACTAATAGTAGACTTAAATATAATTATGTTATTATTATTAATTATTATTAATGTTATTATTATTATTATTTTTTATTATTATTAAAATTTCAAATAGAAAATATTTTTTACCTTAACATTACTTTTGAATTCTTGTATCCATTATTGTAATAATTGCCACTTTATATAAAAATGTCAAACAATTCAATTTTCTTTATATTAAATCTATAAATTTGAATTACTCGTATTCAGATAAACCTAGTATTCGTTCTTTTTTATTCGAGTTATATCATTTTAATTCTTTGAAATTAATTAGTGCCTTTTAATTAATATAAATCTCGATATAAATTCAATGGGTCTTATATACCTAGTATCATAACTTTCTTACAGATTTCGGGTTTTTGTCTTTATCAGATCCGGAGGATTGATATTATTCTTATCGAGATAAATATTTTAATGTTGTTTTTTATGAAATAAATATATACAAGTTTAATATACAAGTTTAATAATGATATTTATTGTTATTCCAGCAGATAGCTGTGCTAGTCTTATGTCATCAATTCCGATAGTGAATAAGTTGTTCAATGTACATTACAAAGTTGGGAAAGGTGCGTTTAGCTCTGTCTTTCTGGCTACTCTAAAGTCTTCCGACGGACGTAAGAAATTTGCGTTAAAACAATTAATTCCTACTTGCCATCCTGATAGAATCAGACGCGAGTTGCAGTATTTGCAACAAATAGGGTACGTTAGATAAATTTTAGTCCGAAACAATGTACCATTGTTTCATATAAATATTAGTTAACATTAAGGAGAACGTATTGAATATTTTAGAGGAAAAGATTACATCGTTGGATTAGAATTGTGTTTGAGGCATTGTAGTTCAGTAGTATTTGTAATGCCATATATGAGGCATGATAGGTTCGCGGTAAGTTTGCAATTTACATTCAAGTCTTTATTTCGTAAAATCAAAAATACTCACAGTGATAATTACGATAAGGAATACGTCCAAGATATGACTGTTGATGAATCGAAGGATTATATCAGAGCACTATTAACTGCTTTAAGAAGAGTTCACAAATTTCATATCATACACAGGGATGTGAAGCCTAGTAACTTTCTTTATGATCGTAAAAATAGAAGGTAAACTTATGCAAAAGGAAAACACTTTTCTACATTTCGAAAAATGATCTAACGCAATTTTTTATTTAGATATTTGTTAGTGGATTTTGGTCTTGCGCAAGAATATCATATAGAGAAAAATATAACAAGCAGAGAAAGTGTTGAAGCACATGGGACAAAGCGAAAGAGATCAAATGAAGTGGAGTAACACTTTACGAGTTATCACATATTGAAATAATTTACATGTTTCTCTTATCTTTTGTTGTAATTTGTTTTAGAATAACGTAAGTCTCCAACCTGATGTTGCTAAGAGAAATATGAATAAATGCAATTGTTTTGGAAAATCTAAAGTGTGCGTAATATGTTTAAAAGAGCCGCAGCAGCAGGCACCTCGTGCGGGCACGCCTGGGTTTCGTGCTCCAGAGGTTTTACTAAAACATGTTATGCAAACATCAGGTATTAATACTGGCAAGATGCAAAAAACCATTTCTAGAAATTAAACATTTCTAGAAACTAAAAGAAAAATATAAAATTTCAGCGATTGATATCTGGGCTTGTGGTGTAATAATGCTATGCATACTTAGTGGTTCACAACCGTTTTTTCGTTCACCCGATGACTGTACAGCTTTAGCAGAAATTACAACGATATTTGGCTCTAAAGAAGTACAAAAGTGTGCACAAAAATTAGGTATTTTAATAAATACTGTGATTATGACATGATTTATTTATTCAAATTCTTTCTATTTTTCGTTTAATTTCAATTTTTTATATTAATTTTTATATTAATTATGTTATTTATTAATTTTTACATTAATTATGTTATTTATTATAATTTTTATAATATATTTTATTAATTTTTTATATTAATTATGTTATTTATTTTCTTTTTATTTAAATTAGGCAAAAAGGTTATTTTTAGTGAAAATTTGCCAGGCATGGACATTAAATCTTTGTGCATAAAGTTAAAACAAAGAAACAAAAGTATGATGTATGATATACAGAATAGTATACATAAGGTATATATCTCGTTTATATTTTAAATAGTCTTTTTTTATTTAATGAAGCAATATAGCAGGAGAAAGTAGATATAATCATTGATTGAATCTTTGAGTTTCATATGTTAAAAAATATTAAAATTATTATGAGCGTAGAATATTCGTGATACAATTTAATTTTGTTGTCAAATAGAATTGCCTTTAACGCGAAAATAAAATCTTTGTGTCTAATTTTTCTCTCTATTGCTTCAGATGTGTATAATATCTTTATTTTTATTTCAAAATATTATAAAACTTTAAGGTACCGTCAGATATCGAATATCCAAAGGAAGCGTATCATCTTTTGATGAAACTTTTAGATTTAGATTTCAGAACACGTATTACCGCAGAGCAAGCGTTGGCTCATCCATTTTTAAGTTTATGATATTGATACATATTTCAAATATGTTAATGCATACGTTTTTAAATATTTGAAAGAAACATTTTTTTAATTGTTACAATTTCGTTAAAATTACAGTTTTAGTTTATTACATTTGTTGTTTGTAAATTGTAGCTTTCTATTCAAATAATTTTCGGACTAAATAAAATTGTTGAAAATTAAGAATTTTCTTGATGAGGATTTTCTTATATTGTCAAAAAAAATTTATTTTTCTCTTAAATATATAATATATAATTTTTTGAGATTTAATATAATGATAATTAAAATTAGGAAAGTTACGAAAAATTATCTCCTGATTTATGATCATTTCTTGGTATTTTGTACAGGGTGTTGCACCAACATACAGATCAGTATGATGGGTTGCCCATTCGTGCAGGCGCGCGAGATCGTTCACAACTGCGTAGACTTCGGCGGCACAATGGATGACAAGATATAGGTTATAAAAACGAATTTTATCGTGAAAACGAAGCATGTTTTCCTTCTTGTAAGAAAAATTTGATCATAGTCGAATGTAATTATTGTGTAATATAATTTGATTGTTTGAATTATTTTTACAGAGAACGAAAGTCAGAAATAAATGTATCTTTGCAAATTTAAATTATAAACCTATATCTATATATAACCTATATCTTGTCACTTCGGCTTCTGTTTTAACCTATTCCTACGGAAGTTCGTCATAATTGCACCACAATTTGATATGCTACGAACTTTATTGGAAAAAAGGGTGTGCTATGATTGTGCCGCCGAAGTCTACGCAATTGTGAACGATCTCGTACGAATGGGCAACCCATCATACTGATCTGTATGTTGGTGCAACACCCTGTACACATTTTACACATTGTACATATTATTAATCAAATAAATTTATTATTTAAAATTCATTGTTTTTTGGAGAGAATTTCTCTAATATATATTTGATTTTTATAAAGGACTTATAAAGTAAATGTATTTGTTGTTAAATGGACGACTTTTTTGCTGTATAACATATAATTATGTACGATATTATGTATAAATAAATGTAATATTGTGTGACAATCTTGCGTTTCGCAGGTTTTCTCCGTGTTTAGATCCATTCTTGGAATGCCAATATTTCGTGAACCTTGCAGTTTACTTCATCAGAGCGAGGAGCAGCCTGATACTCAGAGTTGGAATGTTGGCATTCCAAGAATGGATCTAAACACGGAGAAAACCTGCGAAACGCAAGATTGTCACATAGGTAACACCCGTGAAAGCCTCAAGAATATTATGTAATATTGTATTTAAATATACTATTCTTATACAACTTGATGCGATGATAATTATATATCCTAATTATGACTTCATGATGCTAAATATATTTATAAACTTTATATACAATATCTCCGTGCATGTATTATTTCACATAATATATTTAAAAAATATTGCACTTTGGCAAATTTAATATAATAAACTGTATTCTGCACGGAGATCGTATATTTAAAGATATATAAATATGAATATAATTGCATGAGTATATTTAAACCGACGAAATTTCATTTAATTCATAACATTCATTTTATCATTTAAGGCACTCGATTTGAAATATGAGGAACATATACGACATTTAAATCTTAATTAATGTTATCTAAATGTTTATACATACAATCTCCTTAATCGACATGTTCTGCACTAGTGCTTTGTGACAATTCGTTTTCTTCGTCATTTTTCTTGATTAGTTTCCATTCCGCAGCAGCCTCTAAAGCAGTGGATGCTAATTCCCTGATCTTCTCATTTTGTATATTATCGTTTTTGCTCAATGCCATCAACAGTTCCATTATGTCCGTTTCAATGAGTTTTGCAGCGACGTCTTTCGTGCTTCTCATCATATTTAGCACAATTACAACACCTCTATGTTGTACGTCGCTATTTGGATTAGCGAGTAAAAAGCGCAGAGATTCCAGCCAATCTTTCGAGTCAAAAACTTTCTCGCAAGCCTTTTGGCTGGCAGACGTCAGCATTGCTAGAGCTCCAGCCGCTGCTATACTAGTGTCTTCATCTTCGTCCTCGCACAATATTACGAGATATTTGACTCGATCATTTTCTTGTTCAAAATATTGAATTATGTCCTCGCATATTATCAAATTGTTTATTACTTGTGTGGACGCACGTCTCAACATATCGTGGTCCTCATACATATAGGCCTCGATTTTCTGGAATCCTCCCTCCTTCAATATACGTTTTCGCACGCTGTCGTTGACGCCAGCTAAATTGCACAAAGCCATTAGACTCTCGAAATTTTCGAGAGCAGAACACTCCGGGTTCAGGAGATTTACGAACGGCCGGACAACTTCCATGATTCTCTGACCGGGAAATGCGACCTCCGGATTTATCGTGATTCCCAGACGAGCCAGGGCTTGCGAGGCTTGCTTCTTTCCCTTATCTGTGCCATCCAACGCTAACGGCAGCAAAGCCTTCGTACCACCTTGTTGGACGATCATTCCTCTCACTTCCTGTTGACTACATATCGCGTTGAAAACGCGGGCTATCAATTCCTTGCTGTTCTGGCTCTCCGTTTTGGCGAGGCTCACCAGAGCGCCGGTCACACCAGCCTTCGTTAACGTGCATAGTCTTTTATTTACGAAGTCAATGTCGTCCAGTTCGTGTTCCTCGGGAATATGGTGTTTGGCAAACTTTGCCAATTCTATCATCTCTGGTATGAGCTCTTGCTTATCGTAAGCGTTGCATAAGTTTACCAATGTCGTAACCACGCCATAGAGAACCGACTGATCGCCAGTTTTGGCGAGCTCAATCATCGCTTGTACGGCTTGTTGGTCTTCGATCAACTTCTCTTTGACCTCAGCGTCGAAAGTGAGATATGACAGACCTTCTACAGCCCATTTTCTCATATCTTTATCTTTTTTGGGATTAATCAAGAACCGTCTGCAAGCTTCGGCCAATTTCTTTGTCGCTCCATCCGCAAATGGTCTAATAGTCGCATCCGTGCCTCCAGAACTGCCCAACTTGCACAAACCCACTAATGCTCGAATCCGAATTGAATCATCCATAGATAAATACAGCTTCTTTAATATATTTACACCTTGACTTATGATTGCGTTGGCCTTATCTTTTTTAGTCGCAGCAGCCACGATACATTCACAAGCCACTTTTTGCTGCAATACATCATCCGTTCCTGCCATAACGAGAATCATCTCTAAAATCCCTTCTTTAGCCACAACTGCATTTCCAACATCTAGTGGGCCTAATAATAAAGTTGTTATCGCAACTACAACACGTACCTAAAACAATCGATTAATAATTAATAAATTTTTATACTTTGTGAAATATTTATCTTTTCTTAATAAACATACTTAGGCAGTTATAGTTTTATTTCATTTTAATTAAAATTAGAAGAATATCTTTAGTAAATTAAGCTTTAGAAAATATAATATATAGATAAAAACAAAATCATATTCTTCAATAAATCGATTAAATTTTGTTATGATATTATAATCTAAAACTCAAAATATACATACACAATATTAAAAATTAAAAAGATAATCTTCCTTGAGACATTTTTGCTTTAAATAAAAATAGATTTCAAATCTCTCAAAGAGGCTATATTAAAGAATGTACATTCTTTTCTTTTTTGTAGAATGGTTCAAATAAATAGAAAAAAATCAGAAGTTACAGAATTTATACCTTGGATTCTATGTCAGGCGAAAGCAATTTATCTTTAATAAACTCATCAATAGCATTGCTAAATTTCTCCTTAGCAGCATCATAGTACATGTTTTCATATATTTTAGCTAAGCACACACTAGTTATAGTTCGCGTGGAAGACGTTATGTTCATTGAGGATTCATATTTATATTCTTCCATTTCACTGGCCACTTCCATCAATCTCTGCAAACCGCGAAGCTCGACCAATCGTTCAGCCCAGTCTAATGCAGTATAATGAATGTTACGCATAATAAGTTCTATTATAGCGTCTCTTGTAAGGCCTGTTATTGTTCTATTCGTTATACTGTACAATAAACACGACAGAATCGTGTCTATTTCTTTCTTATGTGTCTCGCACAAAGCCTTATCGGGTTTAGAATCAGGTTTATTATCCATACCACTGTAAGCATTCAGTATATTCTGAAATCAAAATATAAACACTGAATATTCAGTTACGTATAATTATATATTTAGCGCCAAGACACGACCATGTCTCCTGATATTTTACTCGATATTTACCTGTAAACAATATTGAGATGCGTTGACTCTCTCTGTAGATGTGCTGTTCATCATTTCTAAATACCAAGACACACCAAGATTTTTTATAATAAACTCAGTTCGACTAATATTGTTTTTGCATAATTCGCCTACAATACGAATCGCGCTACAAATTACTTCTTCACTCTTTTCGATTTTCACAAGCTCTGCTATTTTGAAACCTTTTTGTTTAAAGATCTCCTCGGCACCAGCTTTCTCACGTGCGAGCACAAGTAGATTATTCATAGCGGTTTCACGTTTTTCTTTATCTGCGTTCACGTTAAATGCTAGATCTAACATTTGTGATACCTAATACAAAGCAAAATTAAGAGTACTTAAATACAATGGTCTGTAATAAAAATATGCATTAATTGTAAAATATTATATTCATATAATTTTTATCCATACACAATATAGATTTACTCGACAATAATTAGTAATTATAAAATAAAAAAACTTAAATCCGCCAAATTATGTAACATTGAGTAAAACAAGAACTTATTAATATATTTATAATATATAAAAATAACATATAAAAAATGTTAATTATCTAGATCAAATTATTATGTCTAGTAAGTTAATAAATTTTGTAATAATTATGTATGTATATTTACTTTGGCACTAATACGTGAATTTTCCTTATGACGTTCTTGTACAATTTCATGTAAGCGTGCCACTATGGGCTGAATAATTTTGTTATTGGGATCAGATAAAATAATATTCCTTGCATCTCGATATGCCTCCTCAAATCTTTCTAATGCTTCTAATGCTTGACATCTACGAAACAATGCTTTGGGATCATTAGAACATATCTTTAAGGCATTGTCGCAGTCTTTAATTACGTTTTCGTAATCGCATAATTTTAAATGAGCGGCAGCTCGATTTTTGTAGTACAATGCTTTGTCAGCGTTATCTTCGTTTACTAGTTTCAATGCATTTGTGTAGTAACTCAAGGCTTCAAACCAATTGCCTTTGTTAAATTCTTCATTGCCCTTCTCTTTCCACTCCTGTGCAGTCATATTTGTCTTTGTCATGATAGAAAGACTCTATAATATAAAATATATGATATTGCACTAAATATTTCAACGTATTCTTATATGAAGAATAATTTTATGAAAAAATTCTTGTATATCCATAATATTTTATATATATATTACTTTACATATAAATTTTTTCCACAGTTTTGCAAATATTTTAACTTGCAACAGGAACATATACTTTTTGAAGTTAAAAGAACATATGGGTTTTCATGATTCATTAAAATTTTTGTTACTAGATTATTTTTTTAAATAAAAGAGTTCTTCAAGTTAATTTAAAATTGTAAAAAATAAGATTGTGAAAAATAACATTATTCCAACACTATTCCAATATAAAATTATTCCAAATTATGAAACATTTATTATTCTAAAATATATAATTACATATGTGATGTTAGCAGAACAAAAATGTACATAGTTCAATAATAATACAATTTTTAGTATGACATCTATACATAAATTAAAATCAATTGTGATAATAAATTTTGTAATGGAAAGCTGATGCTGAAAGCTTTATTAAACATTAAGAAATATTAAGAAAAAACAGATTCCAATTTGAACACCTCACCTTTCGTTTGTTGACAATTTACAACCGAGTTGGAGAGAGATAAACCTAAGTTTTTAAAACGAGTTTCCAAGAGTGACTAATTTGGTGAATAATTTGATTTCCTGAAACTTTGACACTGCAATTAAAATCGTAGTTTGCAATTCAGTTAGTGCTCATTTTCAGAATGATCCAAGAGCTGCTTGTGCATTGTATTATAGACGATGTGAAACCATCCAGACGTATCATTTGCGTTTATTTTTGGCGAATCATCGATGACATAAATAGAAACATTGGGTTATAAATATAGACCAATGATGGCTGCGTTCAGCAGACTCAACAGTTTTGCAACCGTTTTATGATTGTCTGCTGAGATAGGACCATTCTTCTAGATCTAAAAGTATGATCCAATTAGCGCGAAGGAAACTTCCAACAGTTGCAAAACAAACGTTCTGCTGAATGCAGTCATAGACACGATAATGCTTCCGATCCACTGGCTATAATAATATTATCATTGATCGCGAAAGTTCGAGAACAAGAAATTTAAACGAGCAGAGCTTGATTCTGTTCGATTAATGTTTTCAAGTAAAAAAGTTAAAACTTTCTGCGTTTGAGGTTATGCGATCATGTGCGAGCGCAGCATGAAATTCGGTTACACGACAATTTTCATAAAAAAAGAGGGGGTAATGTTGGTAGCAATAAAAACCCTTGAGGCACCATAGTTTTATTTTCTACGGATTGGTAATATTTACAAGTAGTAATCCGTTAGTTTGCTCTCATCACGCTCAAACTAACGGATTACTACTTGTAAATATTACCAATCCGTAGAAAATAAAACTATGGTGCCTCAAGGGTTTTTATTGCTACCAACATTACCCCCTCTTTTTTTATGAAAATTGTCGTGTAACCTGAAATTCGCGCCGCGTCGGAGATTTCCGGCTCTTTTCGCCAATATTACAATGGCCTGTTCGATTTGCTTACACTTTTTTTACACTTTTTACACTTAGAATGAGATATATATTTGGCGCTGAAAAGAAAGAAAGCGAAGATAGTGAGTGTAAAAAGTTTAAACAAGTCGAACAGACCAATTTTTATATCGTGAAAAGAAAATGCTCATTCTTGTAATTTTAACTTTTATAATTTATGTTTTTGTTCTATGTTCTTTCCAATATTTAATTTTACTTTTATTTTACTCTTTTTAATAATTGCTTCAATAATTTTTTAACATCATATAATTACTTTTATAATTATTAATTGGTTGAAAATGATTAGTAAAATCGAAACGTTCCATTTATTAACTATTTATTAGCTGTCATAACTTTTTGACATTATCGTTTCGACATCTAAAAAACAAATTTTTTCCTGATTTCCCATTTCGTTGAATTTCGCCATCTTTTTACTGCGATTACCTGACCTCGCCAGTCGCAGTAATAAAAATAGGAAGTGACGCAAAAATTTATGACGTCATAAACGCAAAAGTATATTGGAAGTTTACTGCGATATATTTTGGAATGGCATGTGCAATGCTGCCAGTACTGACAGTGAATAATGAAACGCAGCCCTAGTCTTCGCAAAATATCCGTATATACGTATTTTCTATTCGGTAAGATTACTTTCTTTCTAGACTTTCAATCTTAGTTCTATAAACTTGGTATCGTTCGTTACAATAATGTGACCCCAGACCTATGCTTATTTTCAAGATATAAACTATAAAACTCTTGTATGAAGCAAATATAGACCTGAGGTGTCAGCTGTACGAGCTAAAAGTAAGCGAATTTTTAAACTTTTCTTCGATTTTCTCCTAAAATCCGATACAGCTGAGGTCCTGTTTGTGCGTACTTTAATTCTGTAAAAACAATTTTTTGCAATCCGTCAATTCAATTCGGAGATATTTCACCGAATGGAAATGATGGTAAAGTAGAATAACTTTAGCATCCCTTTAACGATAATCGGCGCTCTACTATTATCCATCGAGTCACCAATGAGCGTGCCTGAGCCACTGTGATTTACTGTGAAATGTGAACGTTCGTTTTTGATGGCGTCTCCTCGGTGTCGCTCTTGATTGCGTTGTGATTTTCGAAAAAACGTGGTCTGATAATTTTGACACACACCTAGATACACGCATTAAAGACTTGGAATCACCTGGAATCATCTAGACAATTTAAATAGGACCGTGTGTGAATATATATAAAATGAGCGAGCATATGCATATATACACCTTCCACGATAAAACCCTCGCCGAGAGATTGGAGGAGTATACCAACATACTGTCCGCACAAGGGAGAATAGTGCCTGCCTCGAGCATTCGAACGGAATGGGTCTGCGACGTGGAGCTCGTCATCGAACCGGTCGGCTGGCAGGCGTTGTGGAAGATATCTCGTGCGACATGTGAGAACTACGGTATTCGTTATCCAACGATCGTCAAGGTGGAGGTGTTGGGGATGGACTTCCCGATATTGAATGCCTTGGTGAAGATCACGGCTGTTCAGGACGACATACATCTACCCGAGAAGCATGAAGTGCCATTGGTTGAGTTATATCCCACCATCGATCAGCAAAACCACAGCTTGGATATAGTAGGCACTGCACATTGCGTGGATCGACTACGGTTTTTCTACAATTACCTGTGGATGCCATGGGACGAGGACGAGGATGACGATATCGATTGGGTGGAGCAACATTTGGAGCGTAGGATCAGATTGTACTTTGACATGAATAACGGAATTATCAATAAGGAAACATGTGACATTATTAAATCGTTAATCAGTGAAGGAAAGGAGATACAGAAGAAGATTTCAACATGTGAAGCTTTGCTACCCGAAGATTTCCAGGAAGATGATATGCCTGAAGAGTTGGCACAGGAAACGTGTACCTTGATGAAGCTCCACTTTCGACTTCAGCAGATTAAAGCAGAGATGGACTTATTGGAGAATCCTTCGTTGAGAGGATTGCTTGGGAAGAATCAATCATATAACAGAAGAAAAAGGCGCAGCAATAACGAAAATAGGAGAAGCGTATACTACTTTGTGTGGTTGGGTGGTATCGTCAAAGAACTCCAGGAACTTTCTAATAAAATTCAAACAATGTTGCCTGAGGATACACCTATTAAGTACATTTCGATTTCATTAAGCAAAAAAGTTGTAGGGAAGATAGAAAAATCATTATAAACAATATAAAAATAGAAAGAGTAGGCTAATGAGAGCCGGCAACGATAAACGGCATAATTACTTAGTGAATAATCAATACTCAGAAATTGAATTGATGTCTTCTTTATTTGAACGTTTCAACACTCTTTAGAGTCCTCAGCAAAAAAATACAAGAATAAATAGCTCACATGTCCATAATGCTAAGGTCACTCTCAAATTGACAAAGATGAAGCGTTTTAGAAAAAAATCTCAGATTTCTGAGTATTGATGGGTCATGACCAATTTCTGAGTATTTGATTATTCATTAAGTAATTGGGCCGTTTATCGTTGCTGACTCTCATTAACCTATTCTATCTATTTTTATATTGTTTAAAATTCGAGAGTCCTATTATAATTATTGTTATTGAAAATCATTATAATTTCTACATTGTTTATGTTTCAGAATATGTGGATATTTGGATGATGTTATGGATACATTTGAGACAGGCGATACTATTTTGCTAGGTGAAGGAAACTATTCGATGAAAGGCTCCACTGGATTACAAGAAGGAGGTACAATTATAGGAATTTCTAACGCAGTGAACACTATAATTTCTCCACATGACCAAAATATGTCGCCGTCTCTGTTTGATTTTTCTGGCAATGAGGTATGCTTCAGTAATAAATTTTTCAATGTTTCTGATATTTCTATTATTGATTCATTTATGAAACCCAATAGATATTGTTGAGGAATGTCTGCGTCGACTTGGGATTACTTCAGGCAGGCATAATTATCAGAAAGGACTGTACTGTAATTATAACTGGTTCTAGAATACGTGTCTCTAATGTCACTGCAAATAGTAATGCTAAATGGGGTGCAGTTGTTATGCCGGGAGCAAAATTAATACTTGAAGATACAGTTTTTCAAGAATTAGGCACAGCAATCATTATTTATGGAACTGGTGAAGTTGTTATGAATAATTGTCAATTTGAAAGCTGCTGCGAGGGTATACGGGTAAGATTACTCTGCAATGATTTTGATGGTGACTTTTTAGAATATTTGTAATGAATATGTACTTTTTTAGCTCAATGACAATGCACGTTTTACCGCGACCAAATGCTCTTTCGAGAATATTGAGAGCGGACATGCTATAGTGATGGAAACTGAGAAAGTAACTTGTTCAGAGATCGTAGAAGTGGAAAGCGAATTGAATAGTGTGTCTCTTAAAAATATTTCTTTAAATGAGTGTAAATTTTTCAATAATGACAAAGGAAGTATTACGTTAAGACCAAAAGATACTGCCGCTCTCATACATAGACAAATTAATGATATGACAGAAGAATCAGCATGTAAAGAAGTTATGGAGTTATGAGTTTCGCATTATCTGTCGCATTTATAAATTTTCCTTAAAATCATTATTACCCTTTTGATACAAAGTGCAAACGTATTGATATATTTAAAAACGAATTTTACATATAAGCTTTCTTACGAATATTTTTTTACGGAAATATATCTAGTAATAGAAACGAATAACAATTTCCGCCTCGCCTTCAAATTCCATGAAAATTTTTTATTAATATAAAAAGTGATATATGTATATATATATATAATTTTTTATATTAATGTATATATAACATGTATAACTTTATACATGTATATATTATTTTTATATGTATATATTAGCTGTGTACCAAAATTTACTGCCAGTACTGAAAATCTATAGAGCATGTGACGTAAACTATAGATTTTCAGTAAATCTTGGAACACAGCCATTATTGGTGCTTTTCAGCAAGAGACAGTGTTCCAACAATGAAATAAATAAGGCATAAGAACAGGGAATATCAAGCAATAAATTTCAATCTATCAGAAACCATGTATCAATATAAAGCAATTTCTGATAGATTGAAATCTCTTGCCTGTGTGTATGTGTGTTTTATTCCTTGTTTTTATTCCTTATTTCTTTCATTGTGTCCGAATCGTAACAAGTAATTATTTAATCTTTGTTTCATATTAGTATACAATAAGGATATAATTATTTTATAGCAGAAAATAGTTTGAGATTCAATATTTATACGTTTTTCTTTTTATACATAAAAAAAGGTAAAATTAGAAAAAAAAGGGACGGGATTTGAGCGACGATACTAAACATTTATTACCGATTGG